CAACCACAGGCCCCCCCGCTCCTCCCGCCCGCCTGCGGGGCGCCTCGCCACCGGCTCCAACGCCGCAACGGGCGCCGAGAGACTCAGTTGCTGGGTTGCTAAGCGACGCCGGTCGCGAGCGCGCCGTGACCTCTACGTTGGCGGCAGAAGGCACGCGATTGGAGGAAGGGCCCAGGTGGGCGGTGCCAACCGCGGCAGCCGGCGTGGGGCGTCCGCTGCCGCCACTCGGGGTCTCCCCGGGGCAAACCCGTGTGGAAGGCGTCTAACGCCATCTCTCCGTCAGCGGTTTGCCTTCGTAACAGGAAGGGTTTCCGCAAAACCGAAAAACAGCTTTAATCAGTCCTGAAGCAATATACTGGCAACGGGCAGATCCTTCCTGTTTAGAGAGTAAATAATTCCGTGTGTGTACAAATGTGCATACACATGTAAATAAGGACTAGAAAGCAATCTAGGAAAGAAAATATTCCTGGGATTTTAGCGTCAGGAACCTAAGCTAGCACGCAACAAGGGTTTTGTAGCCGACTCCAGGATACCTTTTTAAATAAAGCTGTCATCTCCCATGCTTGACATCAGGCTTCCAGAATTAAAGCAGGCGGATCTTTTCTCTTCTTTGACAAACTTCGTGGCCGACATTCACCCCAAATCTGGCCAGCTGTTTCTTTCAGTGGCAACTTTTAATCAGGTATTAAAAAAAAAAAACAAAACAACCTGGAAATGGTTGCAGCTGGAAGAATTAATTCAGTGTCTGTACTAATTCTGAAGCTTAATTGCACGAACGTTACCGTGGCCCTTCCCTCGCAGAAAAGAAAGACGGCAGACTGAATTCTTTCCAGAAGGGAAGGCTGCATGCGAGTAAGGAAGCACACAGCTGATAAAACCGGCCCGTGGAAGGCAAGAAGCCGGCTTCGGCGCTTCTCGTGTGACGCGCGGGGGGCGGAGAAGGCAGGCCGGGGCAGGCGCCACTGTTCCGGCCAGAGGATGTCGCTGGCGCCCTGCGAGCGCGTCCCCCGGGGCGGCCCGGCCTTTACCCCCGGGCTGAGGGAAGCCCGCC